CTAAAAACAAGGAGTATACAAGGATGCCTTACATAGAAGCATAGAATAGGAACAAACAAATATCACTCTGAGAAATGGTAAACAAAAGCAACACTAAAGACACATTCAAAGCAGTCATATATAACAATTCATTTAGAAGTCCCACTCAGGCAGACAGTCCTGAGGAAAAGCTTGCCTGAAGAGAAAAGTCTTGGTCTGCTTGTGGAAGGACAGCAATGATGGGCCCGGCCTGGCCTCCTGTGGGAGGCAGTCCCAGAGACCCAAAATTTGGCCCATATATTTTGGGGTAGCCTGATTGGTGGTTAAGGCCCATTAGCTTTGCAGAAGATCTGCTCCTGGCAGAGATGAAAACTCGTAAAAGTAGAACTGGACTGTTGAGTTGGGTCAATATAGCTTCCAGCTTTGGGGGTACTGTGGGGACTGTCAAAAACACTTGTATTTTGGCATTTACCATTACTGCACTGTCAGCCTATATATATATTCTCTTCTATTCTACATAGATTAACGGCGACAGAAAGGGACCACTAAGCATCTGGACAAAGCAGATTTTAATGCAAGATGGATAGCTTACATCTGGTGGCTGCTGCACTAATTCAAATGCCCACTTGTGGTAGTTCAGTGCACTGTAAACTCTGTGAACATCTTTTTAAAAGCACTTTCCCTCCTGGCAATAATCTTGCTGTGGAAAAATCTACAGGAGCTGTATAATTGGTTCAGTAAGCATAACATTAAATCTGTGCTGCAGTTTTAATGCAGTGACCCATTTCCTTGCTCACTTACTCCTAAGAACATCACCTTGGTCCATGTACTCAGCTGTGCTAGGAGATCTCATGGTAGCTTTTGTTATCATGGAAAAATGTCCAAGGACAGCATTTATACACACTGCATCTTTTGCTACAGGTTGCTCATGCCATTTTAAGGGTGAAGTAAAACACTGAGGCTGCAGCTACATTGTAAAACACTGCGGGATTTGCTGCGCTTATAAAACAAGTGAATTCAAAGTATTTTTTTACTGACTAACTTACACAATGGGTGATTCAAATTGGTCCAGCCTGTTCTGTTCCCAAAGCGGCTTGTTTTCTCTACTGCCTGGAGGCTTCTACTTTTCCAAGCCAGGATGATTTCAGCTGGCACTGCTCCATGTTGCTGCTTTTGTTGTTTCAACTTATATACGGCCCTATAGTGCTAAACCACCTTCTGCGCAGTTTGCAACATAATTATCCATACAATACTTTGCCTCCCCCTCTCATGAGCTGAGTATTCATTTTACCAACCTTATAAGGATGGAATGCTAAATCAACCTTGAGCTGACTATCTGAATCCATCCGCATGGAAATCGAGTTATAAGCAGAGGTTTTACTGCAGTTTAACCATTGTGCCATGTGTGGTTAGATACATTCTTGCAAAGATGGGGGGCATGTTGCAGGTGGTGTTTCAGTGATGTAGGCTTTGGGGTACGATGCTGAAGACCAAAGGAATACCCATTTGGAACATAAAATTTCCAGGTTTACCATTCCCTCCTTCTGCAGTATGCTTTCGGCCTGTGCGGCTTCTCCAAGGCTACACAAACTGGCTCTTCTCTGGGGAGGCAGAGTGAGAAACACGACTCTTAAGCTCTGGCTCCGCAGCTGGCAGCTTTCCACGACTCCTGGTGGCCAGCTGGTTTGTCGATAATGAATCTATACACTTGCCTTCATCTTTGTACTTTTCTTGGGGGGCCCAGCTATGAAAGCTGCCATGAAGAGTGGATGCATTTCCAAATATTTCATTTGTACACACAGGCCAGCATGCCAGCTCTGTAAAGCAAGTTAGGTTGGGATATATTGGTTGGCTAAAGCTTACCCAAACCACTGACCCAATGTGGAGTAGGGATTTGAATGGATGGTACCTCCATTATAGGACTGACACTGTCCAAAGTAACAACTGTGGCTCTTTCTTTGAAGAGGAAGATAAAAAGATGGCTGTGCTGTGATCATGTCTATTGCCTTTAAATGTAAGTTCCTGACAGCTGTTCAGCTTGTTTCTGCCTGAATATGTAATTCATATACTTCAAAGCCACAGAGAGGAAGACAGAGAGGACTGGGCCATGGTGATGACACAGCAGGATAATTTGGCTAATCTGCCTTTTGGATGGTTTGGCTGCCCAACAGCCAGAGCCTGGAGAAGCAGCACAGACTCACATCGTCCTGGCCCAAAATCAAAGCAGTGTTAATTTAAGTAGCGTTATTCTGAAGGTCTTGAGCTGCCTGGTAGATGATGACACAGGAAAGAAAATTAAAAGTCTTTCTTCAGTTTTGCTTTTAAAGAGAATTTCAGACCTGGGGGAAAATGAATTATGGGGAATGGATGTATAGGTGAAGCATGGTAAGTGAATACAAGGCCAACTCTCTGATCAGGCAGAGTGAGGCAAATGCCTCAGGTTGTAGCTGCTGGGGGCAATAGTAGAAGGCCCAAAATGGTTCCTTCTGGATGTCTTGACTTTTTCTGTCTTGGAGGAAAGTGGTGGCCTGTACCCCCAAATTAGCCTTCTGCCCTCGGTGAAGGACCCTATCCCATTGCCACTGCAGCAATAAGGTTCACTGCCCAGTCCTGTCAGCTACTGTGCTTGGAATGGGTGAGAGGGTGCTATTCTGTCCACTGCTTCAGAAAGCAAAATCTCTTGGCCCTGCCTCTGATCAGATGTAAACTTACACCTGCTGTCCTACTTTAGTGCCAGTGGCAGGCTGTGTGGCTTTCGTAAATGACATCAACCTATATTCTCAGCAGCTGCCTCTCCCAAGACTGAATGAATTCAATTTCAGCTCTGAAGGAGGCTTTGTACAAATTACTGCTTTCATCTGCTTCTAAATCCTGCTGATGGCTCTGATTTAGATCCCATGTTTCCATTACATAAGCAGGAGTTCCTCCTTCTTGTGTGTAAGAGAAGGATTTTTACTAATCCTCTCTTCCTGTTTCAGTACCACATGCCATCCTGATCCTGATGTCTTCTGTCATCACACCCTGGGAGTGCATTGAAGGCAGCAGAGAGAGACCAAGGCTGCTGCTAGAGCACAGACCTAGTTCAAGCAGGAACCTTAAACAGGGCCCTGCTTTGGCTAGAAGCCTATAGGGCAGAACTGCTCTCTCTCTCTTTGGGCACCTGGTACACCTGGGGGCTCTCTAGCAGCTGCCCCAGAGGTGCCAAGAGTGATTATAACAGATTTAAAGCCAGGGAGGTTGACTTCCTCCCTGCTGTTTTACTGAGCAGGCAAAGACTTTTGTTTTCTAGCAGGCCTTTAGCAGCTGACTGGTTACCACATGGGAACTATTTTACAATTATACTATTACTGTAATTGAATCTTTAAAGTAATGTTTTAATTTTGGATCTTGTTTGGTGTTTTAATTGTACTCCATTTTCAATATTACAGAGTCACCTTGAGACCTGTTTGGAGGAGAAAGGCAGGATATAAATTCAATCAATAAATGCCATCATTCAGAGACGTCCGACCATGTTATGGCTCTTGTTTGAATATGTGTGGTTGAAGGGTAAAGTTTAACTTTTGTAATTGCTGATGTTAAGAGGATTAATATAGTGTCTTTTTACCCTTGGCACTTCCCTATCTTTCTTGTGTTCTGGACAAATTTAATTTGAATGCTATTTGGAGAAACAACTATCTTGAGAAATTTTAAAAAAAACCCAATAATGTTAAGTGCAAGGAAGACTAGAATACTACTTGTCTGCAATGCTTATGTCAAAACTGTATCGCTTCTTCTCTCATTTTGTTGTTGTTGTTGTTTTGCACAGACCAGATGTTCCACACAGGAAAGCCAAATCTTCATGGGGGCTAACTTAATCTACTTTTAAGGCAAGGGACTGGCCACTGAAGGAGCTCTAGATCTCTGCCTCACTTGACCTCCAAATCCTGCCAAGGTGGCAATGGTTCTTTGTTTGATGGCAAAGAGAAAAAAGCACCCTCCCAGAACCCACATTGGTGCTAAAGGAACCTGGTTTGGTGAGGCACTTCGGATTCTCTGTCACAAAGCTCATTCTGCTAGCTAAACTACAGCAGAGAATACTAAGTACTGTAGCTCACCAAACTGGATCCTGGAGGATGGGGAAATGACAGTTTAAACTGATAACAAACTGCCAGTTAAAGTGGAAGCAAACTGCTGAAATTGTGTAGTGTACATTTTTAGATTAGAGTTCTAAATTTTACAGTCGGCATTTAGGCAGCTCCTGCTTCAAATTGTTTTTCCCTCCTGACATGAAAGTCAGACCAAGAGATGGAACTCACTCCTGTCAACTCACCTTGCAAGTAAAAGGTACAGAAGCTCAGCATGCCCGCATAGGGTGAGTGGTAAGTGGTTCAGTCCTTCCACACCTCCTCCAAATGATTACTTGGAGAAATGTGCTGGGCTGCTGAAAAAGTCATAACCTAGTTGTGAGATATCAAGTAAATGAAGTGGATCCTCTGCATCAGAGATATGTTATAAACAGAAAAGACACACAGCTTTTAAAAAAGTGATCAAGATTTAGCCTAGCTTCTCCTTCTTTCCTGACAGCTCTTCTATTTCGTTACCAAATCAGAACAGGCAGAAATTCAGCAGCTACGTACCTAAGAGGTGGGAGCAGAAATCCCCATTTGATTTCTTTCCTCTAATACAGCTTGCTGATTGTACAAGAAAAAGATGAAAATCCTCATAAGCCCATGACTGCACCAGATACCACTTCCTTTTCAGAAAGCTTTTGCATGCCCATAGGAACAACACCAGGAAGAATGACATGGATGCCTTTGCCTGCAAAGACCTGAATTTTAAAGAAATGAATTACAATTGGATTCTTGAAGCAATACTTCATATTAAAAAAAAAAAAACCAAAACCAAATAATGCCTGCTTTTCTTCAGCATATTGAAAGTGTCAAAGCCCTTTGACAGTGTCAAAGTCGTAGTGAAATACAGTAAAACAGCAGTGTAGCAACAGAACCTAAAAAGATCACACCTCATCAGATCTGTTGTGGCTCCAAGATGCCGCCTGCCTGCCGCCGCCACCGCCGCCCAGCGCAGCTCCGGGAGAGGGCCGCCTGCGCCTCCTGGCTGCCCTGGGCCCTTTGGGGCAGCTTGCTTTTGGCGCCGGCTTGGGGCTACGTGATCGTCAGCTCGGTCTCCTGGCCGGTCCCCCGCGAGGTGGAAGACGACTTGCTGGACAGCTCCTCCAACGAGGAGGTCCTCCCGGCGCTCCTCGAAGACGCCGGCAGCCTCTGGAAGCGGAGCTCCCCGGCCGGGGTCTACAAGGCGGCGGAGGGAGAAGAGGAGGAGGAGGAGGAGGAAGGGCAGGGGGGGGTGGTGGTGGAGGAGGAGGAGGTGGGCGACCTCCGGTCCAGGCCGGGGGCCACGGGGAGAGTCAAGCCGCAGGTCTCGTCTCCTTCGCGGATGTTTTCTTACCGGAGAGAAGGCGTGAAAGGGACGGACAGCCTGGGCGCCCAGGTCGAGAGAGCCAGCAGGACGGCCCGGGCCTTGGCCCATCGCAACCTGTGGGGCTTCGTGGCCACCACCTCGGCTCAAGAAAAGGTACCCTTTAGAGGCGCCCAGAGCTCTAAAGCTGCGGG